TCAATCATACATGGATTTCTAGAAACCATTCAAAGCACATTAAAGTAGTGCATTGAGACTGGTCCACATGGACATGTGTATTGGTTCACATTAGTTACATGCAAACATCTGATTTTGCTATATAATTTGTATCTCTTGTAACTTGATTGACAATAATTTGGTGTCATGAGCTTTTAATCTAGAGTTCTAATGAACTCTGCTGCCCAGTCAGGATGCCTATACTATGCTTCTAAAGTCATTATATCTTCACAATTATGAAATCCTTCTGTTTGAGGGCAGTATGAAATACCATGTAAAACTGTTGTGTGCTGCCCACATGCCCAGCTTCTTTTTTTCTTCTTTGAATGCAGACCATGGTTAAATGTATTATACAGCTTGGCAGTTTGATATCACTTTGACAGACACAAAGTGACCTTCTGTACACACTCCAGTGTACTCTAATCTGTGCTGTCCCAGCTCCCACCCAGCAGGAATTCTGAAATGTTGATGGAACCCTTAGATTTAACAGAGCAGCTGTGCTGACCTTTGACCCTTCACACTGGTTCTGACAGCTGCCTGCCATGTATAGAGGAAATCTCACAGACTTAACATTTCTGTCCTCAAGTAAAGATCTTTAGGTAAATACTCAAACCTGAGCATAGATAACTACTTTAAAAATATTTGAGAAACCTAACTGTATGTATGCTGCAGAAGACATTATGCAATATGCTGTGTAGGCTATGCAAAAAAGTACTTGATGGAAGTAACAAAAACTTTAAAGGACTCTTAAGAGAAAGCTCTAATAAACGTAATGCACGCTGAATGTACCGATCTGAAAATTGTTCATCTTATTTAAGTGTGTTGGGTGCTGCCTATATAGGCTTCTGACATTATACGTGTATGTAGATTAGAACTTTCCAGCAATTGTGGAGCACTTTATTTTTAATGCAAATATTAGAACTTTTTAAGCCAATACCTATATAGGGAAAAATAAAATATAACCCTATCTAACAATATTGCTTTAGCTTTGAGTTCAAATAAAGTTGCTCTTGGGTCAGATTCATCCTCTCTCATAGTGTCTATTCCAGACTTAAACATTGCTAATGATATTTGTGCTGAGTTTCTACTTTCTTTTGCAAAGTTGTCACAGTATTAATTTGATATCCCTTCCACATTTCTGTTGATGTTAGTAGTCTGTTGCTCACTTGCTTTACCTCTGTTGAGCAAGACAACTACTTGATTTCTTTTATCTAGATAAATGTTTCTGTTCAGAAAAGCATGGATTGTTTTTCTCAGAAGTTAAATACAATGGAATTAGCAATGCTGTGATCACTTGTTTCTTCCTTCACAGATGGGTATCTTCCAAATGAAGAATGGCTTTAAACTGCTTAGTAAAAGTCAAATGGGAATAATAGAATTATTTGGTGATTAATTTAAGAGATAGTTGAAAGATTAGACTTCTTCTTATTTGGACTGAGCCTTAGTTGTAAATATGTTGCCTTCTGCTTTTTTCAGAAAACTTCACAGGCTGCTTGTCATTTGGAGCTTTTGGGGATAGGGGTAGAGTATTTGCAAGTGTGTGTTTGAGTCTTGTTTTAAATGCTTGAGTCTAATTAGGAGAAGTAGTTAATGACCCAAGCAATGTCTTTAAATTGATACCATGGTGAAATATGACAGTGACACAGTACCACTTTACAGTACTGTGGACTGAATCTAAGCTAAACTGGTTACATTTCAGTCCCAATGAGATCAATGGGACTAAATTTTTTCATGTCCAATTTGTCAGATTTCAAATGAACTTAAGCATGATTAATATAATTGGCCCAATACAATAGATTCCATTTTCTGTCTGTGTTTTTTTTAATTTTAATTTTTTTGGTGGGGGGGTAATAGGTGAGAAGATAATTCCATCAGTTTAGATAACTATACAGAGGTCTTATTGCTGGAATAATGGGATTAAATCTTCTGCTACAAACATGTACTTTTAGAGCCTTCTGACATGATTAGCAGCACAATATATTTACAAAACTATTTCTAGAATATAACTTTTACCCTTAAAGCATATGATTTCAAAGAAGTTTTTTTAATCCACATTGTGTATTTTGGAAAAGTCCAGTTTTGTTCTATCTTGGAATGAACTTGATTGCCATTGTCTGTCACAGAAATAACTGCTGGATGTCATTCTAGCAGCATGGTTCCGTATTTTCCCCCAGCTGACTCTTCATGTAGCCTTTTAATCTACCTCTCTTGTTTGAATGTTTACATTTGATATATTTAATCCATTGTTGTAGATACTTTACATATAGAGGCTTTGGGATTTACTCAGCAGATGAACTGACATTCCAGTACCCTTAAATAGGCTTTTTCCATTGCTATATTGTTTGATATATGTTAGATCATATTTCTAAAAACATGAAGCTCACAGAAAACATTTGATATAAAATACAAGAACTCATTTCTACATTGAATGTAGCTTATTCTATATTTAACTGTCTAGGTATTTTCTTTTTCAAAATTTAGTGGCTTGATACTACTCGTATACAATTAGGGTTCATAATATAAATGTCTTGAAGTTGATGCTTAAGCAAATTTAATCAAACTTCAAAGTTCAATTGAAAACAAAAAAAAATTATAAAACCCCTTTCTCAGAACCTCATGAAGGGCATTTCTTAACCTTGGGATGGTGTCTCATTCTGGCCAGTTAGACAAAGCCAAGAAGTTGCTTATTCAGGAAGTAGAGCTGTCCTGCCCTATCAGTCTGGATATTTTTACTGAGTTTAGAGGTTGGACTGAACTTGGAGCTGCTCTAAGAACACAGCTCAAGTTGCTTTTTCTTATAGTGCACCCCCGCGGTCCTTACCAGCTTACCTTTCCTAAGACAACAATAAATGTAGTGAGTATTCTAATTCTCCCTCTGGCTCCAGCATTTCTTCACCCTTGGAGGAAAAGGTGGTGGCCAGATCAGGCAACACTTTGTCCAGAGGTATCACAGGGTGCCCTTCGGTATATTTGTCCGGTTCACTGTACCAGCGTGAGGCATTTTTTAATCTCTGCTGACTCTCCTTCAGGGACAGACAGAGGAGCCATAACATCTCTTCTTCCCCAGTGCTACATGGTAAGAAAGAGAGGAAGCCTGCAACAACCTGTAAGCTTCTGGAAGCCTTGTGGATGCAGCAAGGCTTTCCCAAGCTTCCAGTTGTTCAGTGCCAAATAGAGAAGTACCCCAAATATTCAGAAAGATGAGTACTAATCTTACCCCTGCTCCAGTCTGTCAGGAGAAAATGCTACGACTCAATTCACCTCCACAGTCCAAGACCTAGCTGTCCAGCAAATCAGCCAAGCCCAGGGGTGATCCAGAGCCTCTTTCCTTCCTACTAGCAAAAAGAAGAGCAAGAGGAGCAAAGAGGAAGACATTCCAGGGACCTATCTAAGCATAAGTGTAAAAAAGGACCACAAAGCCTGTGAAAGCTTATTTTTTATCTTCATGTTCTATAAAGGGTTTAAAGTTTCTCCATCTGTGTTCTCTGAGACCACTGTCCTTTCACCCAGCTTCTCCACTGTGGAGGAGGTAGAAGGCAAGGGAAAATTTGGCTTTATTCTTATGCATTAACACCTGAGTCCAGTGGGCCAAAGCTTTAATTTTCAGGGTATCTACCACCAGCTCCTTCTCCAAAGATGTCTTCATGTGTGCAGAAGTCCTAGAAGATACAGATTTCACTCCTAAGGCATTAAAGGATAGCTTCAAGAAAATTGGCCTCCTGGTGGACTAGGATTGGTGTTAGATGCACTATAACTTAATGCCAGTGCAATAGCAACACATACTCTTGCAAGAAGAAAAATCTTGCTGCACATCTGCAAAGCAGACACAGGGTATCAATTCTGCCTGTACCATCCCTATTTCTGAAGGGGCCAACCTGGTTGAGAACAAAGGGAGGGGCAGAAACCATTCCTACCACTCAGAAAAATGATGTGACAAATATACTTTTTTCAGACCATCAAATATTCTCGTAGGGCTTGTTATACAGAATAGGGAGCAAGCCTAGATGGAAATGCCCTGCTGAAACTTTTTTCAAAAGAAATCACTCAGGTTTCTCTCATTGGTAATAGCCCCAACTTGCCTTCAGGATTGGGGCAACCTCCAGCACTTCACCCAAGTGTGAAAATGGACCACCATGGAGCTCTGGGTGAGGGAGACAATTAGCAAGGGACACACACTGAAATTTGTTGTTCTGCCTAAGGACAAGGTTGCACCATCTCCTTGATTGTGGGAGCCAATTAAAGATCAGATTTTTATAAAAGCAACAGATGACTTCTTGTTGATCAGGACCATTGTACATATTCTGAACCAAGACTTCTGGTGCAGGGTTTATCCTTTTTTCCCTCAAAAATAAAAAAGACACCCCAGGCCCATTTTAGATCTCAATGGTAGACAAATGACCCAGAAACACTTCAAGATGGAGACTCTCAAATCACCATGAAGGTGGTTTCAGAAGCAGAGGTTCTTGCACCCATTGACCAATTGGAAGTATATCTTCATATTACAGACAAGCCCACCCAAAATTCCAACAATAACCACTATTAATATCAGGCACTTCTATTTGGACTGACCTTGGAACTAAGAATGTTTGGAAAGCTCCCTGTGGCACAGGTAGCACATCTTTGAATAAAAGCAATATGTCTACAGCTAAACCTGGATGATATCTTCAGTCACCCTTAGTGAACAAGTGATAGCAGGACATTCAGACAACCTTAAAACATTGCTTCTACAGGAACTTGAATTCACGGTCAGCTAGGAGAAGAGATATCTGACTCCATCCCAGCAAGTAATCTGTCTGGGAGTGATGCTGAACATGGCAGTATCTCTCACAAAGAAAAGATGTCACAATCTAGTCTCCTTTCTTTTGGGAACAAAAAAGGTGGGTATGATGTGCCTAGCCCAGCTTATAGGAGCTCTGCCAGGACCTAGTTCCCTAGATGTCTGTCAATACACACTCCCTCCAGTACTTCCTTCTTCCTTTCAGGAACAGATGGACATTCAAGTGCACATCAGAATGACAATTTCAAGCAAACTCAAGAAAGAATTCTGCTTGTGGCTGGAGCCAATGAGAAGCAAGTAAGGACAGACCATGGTGATACCAGAGAAGTAAACCATCATGATAAATGCCAGTTTCTTCAGATGGGGGCCAAACTTGGTTACAAGGTGACAGAAAGAACATAGTTGGAAGGAAGTAGATTAAAGAACATCCGTTGCCTCCCTGGAACATTTCAGAGTTTGATGAAGTCAAGTCAACAGCCATAGAATCATAGTAGAGTTGGGGCAAATAAAGCAATAGGTTCCAAACCCCTGACCAATGCAGAACTCCAAATTAAAGAGTTGGCTTTCTAGTTGCATCTTGAATGCCTCTAGTATGGGGGAGTCCATGATCTTCCTAAGTAATTGATCCCATTGACCAGGATAGATAATACTATGACCTGATCACATATAAACAAGGCAGATCTTGGTCATCATTGTTAAATGACATGGCAAAACAGATGTTGTTCTGGATAAAAATTCTTCTACACTTTTTCAGAGTGGAAAATCAGCCAGGAGTAGCAAACCTGATAGCGGATTGGCTCCTGCACATCCATTCAGAAGTCAGAGTTGCAGCTCAGTCCCCAAGTGAATTTTGTTGCAGCCTGATCCCCAAGTTGCAGCTCAATCCCCAGTCTTTCACATCAGTGAAAGAAACACTCAGCTACCACATTTCCAATCCAGCATTTCATGCCTGGCAGATGAAGAAACTAATGCATTAGAACATCAGTGGCCAGGGATGTGAATGAGCGAGTCTCCTGTATGTGCGTCTGCCTTTTTCATATATTGCCACACATGTTCCAAAAGATCAGAAAAAAGTGTTAACAGAAGTGATACTCATTGCTCCTCACTGGCTGAGAGGAGCTCAGCAAGTTTCCTCTTAGAGGCTCCCAGCATAGTGGAATGTGCTTGTATAAGGGTCAACAGTGCATCCGCAGTGAAAGCTGACAGCCGTTAATAACTGTTAAAAGTAGCGGTGTCATAATCTTATATTAAGATTGCTAAACAGCTGCAAAATTGGAGGGGGGTTTCAAATATGAAGTTCTATTTGTGTGATTGGGTTGGTTATTATCCAGTAAAAAGTCAGTATGATTTTTTTTTCATTAAATGAGACACAGTCTGGGCTAAATGATAGCTAAAATGGCTTTCTCAGGTCTTTCCTTGTTAAAAACTAAGAGGTAAAATGTTCTTGTCTATAAGAGCACCCATGACCTGTCAAAAAGAAAAGCCAAAAATAAAAGTTCACAAACCTCATTTATTGTTGGCAAAATGTTTAGCCAAGACTTAATGCAGTAAACAACATGCCTTTTAGGGTCCCAGATCTCCAAATCTCCCATTTATGTATTAGAAGCTAGAACTAAATTAGTGGCTTGGTAAAGAAATTAATGCTATTGCCTTGTTAAATAGATATGACTGCCTTCTCTGTAGTGTACTAAGCCCTTTCCTGAACAAAAATGCATTTTCATGTGCTTGTAGAATTTTTAAAACTATAGCCTACAGTGTACTTTCAGACAGTAGTGAAAATAATAAAGCTGTGGCCCTTTCTAAAGTCAACTGCGATGAAGGCCAAATTAAAATTCAAGGCTTTCTGCTTTTCAGGTCAACACACAAAGGCTCAACAGGCAGCCAGAAACATAAGAAAGTTGTGGCCAGAATTTGTGTGTCCATTTGTGTCCCACTTCCCACTTTTGCCCCACACTTGAGCCATATCTTCCTCCTCCTTAGAGCTATAGAATTGGTCAGAATGCGATTCGGCAGGAACAAACAAGAGCACTTCAGGTTCTCTTGTCCATGTCCACCAACTAAGCAGCCAAACAGCTTCCTTCCCTTCCCTTCGTTATGTAGTGAAGTTCATGGTAAGTGACACACAGTTATTATTTATTTTTATTTTTTTTAAGACTGCCATTCTGCTCTGTGACAAGCATTGGAACTGATCATGAAGACATGATCAAGAAAAGTAGTAATGACATTTTTGGATGGAATGACTTCGTTTTGAAGTTACATTGTAGTAATGCCCTACACTTGTTCCTATTGCAATTATTGAACCAAGTGTAGTGATAAGTAAATAATTATGGTTAATTTATCTTAGTACTGCAAGTTCTGATAGGAGCAGTTCACCTAGGTAGAGTTACAGGTAAAATAAACATGGATCTTTGAAAATGTTGTATGTTTAGGATTAAAGTAGAAAATAATTTATTATTGAGACATGACATAGGTCCCCGTCTGATCTAGGATTTTCATTTTCAACTATATGCTGGTATCTCAATCTTTTGGCAGTGGAATAAAATGAAGCAATTATTTTATTTTAGGATGGATTTAGGTTTTCTCTTAAACTAGATTTTTTCTGTAATTTTTGTGATTTTTTTTTTCAAATAGATCTGCTATGTAATTCCCAAATTAAATGTCCTCTTTTTCACTGAAAGATCTGAAGTTCCCTGAGGAAAGCTATAGTTTCTTTTCCTCTCCCTGTATTTCTTTTCTTAAATCTTAGTGAAACACATGATCCACAAAGCCTTTTTAATTACCATTTGAATAAGGCTTCACATGAAAAATGACCAGGAAGGAATCTATTATACCTTTTCATGTCTGAGAATGAAACACACCCTGATTCCAGGCACGCACACATAAACTCCTGTCTGAAACATATTTACTTGAAAGCAAGTCCCACTCGTTTCAGTGGGGCTTATTTCGAAGCAAACTGATGTGATGGGGACTTGGATAATACTCATGAGCAAAGTCATATATTTAAAAAACAAATACTAGTTGTTTCATAGTATAGCATAGTAGATTATTAGTAATACAAAAGCTAGTACTATCAAAATGCTATTATTAAATGTTTTCCATAATTCACCCTTTAATAGTAGTGTATAAAAAGAGACTGTGCTGGTTGCAGCACATTACAGAAGGGTGAGAAATACTGCACCAGCCAAATTTCCTTTGCCCCAAATATTATATGGAGACAAGCAATGTGAATCACAAGTGACTTGTGAAATGCAAGTTGAATGCTGGAAATGTGGTCAGCAAGCATTGAAGATAACTTGAAGGATATTTTGCAAGTGGCAACCTTAAAGAAAAATTGGGAGAACTATACCACACAGCTAATTTTTTATTAGTCCCTGGGAAATAATAGATGCACTGAGCTTTCATACAGGAAAGATCTTCGTTTAGTGTCAGAGCACATGCTTTGCATGAAGACACTCCTTGGTTCAATTCCCATCATCTCCACTTGAAGCTGGGAAAGCCCTCTTTGAAGTCTTGAAGAGTCACAGCTAGTGTAGACAATACTTAGCTGGATTATTTTGTGTTGGAGTTTCTAGTCAACAGGTTAAAACAGCTAAAGCAGTGGAGCTGATAGCATGGCTGGCCCTTCGTAATAGGCCTCCCGGTGTTACATAGAAATAATTTTCTCCCATTTCTGCTTCATCTAGTCAGTTCCCTTGGAATTAAGCTTGCCACAGTGCACTGTATCTAACTTAACTGGAAAGGCAAGATAGCCCAATTTTTCTTCATCCATACATCTACTAAATAAATACTTTAAAAAGAATTGTTTTCAAATATTTGGTTCAATTAGGATCCATTTGCAAATTCTTAATATTCAGTTTTTGTCACTTTTCCTCAATTTCCTTAAACAAAATAGGACGTAACAAATTGACTCTAGTTTATTTTTGCAATGTGAAGAATTGGAAAAAATTAAACTTGTGCTTGTATAAAATGGAATGCCAATTGAATTATGTCCTTAGTAGCTTCCTGTTAATTTCTAATAAACAATGGCACTAAATTGGCTTGCATGATTTAGCACAGGAACAGAATCCTTATAGCTACAGTCAGGCTAGAATGGGTATAACTATCAGTAATATGACCATTAACTCAACTTTGCTGCTAACATTACTGTAGCTATGAATAAAAATGTAGCTAATAGGGAGCTGCCTGCAATGATCCTGGCCTGAGGAAAAATTGCAGAGTTAAGCTAACACTCCTTGTTTTATTGTGCAAAAGAGCATTTACCTTTAAAATTAGAAACATGAAACTGTATGTAATCAAGTGCTTTATGAGGCAGGAAGGTTACATGTTTGTAGTTATTTGCAATCTGTGTATATAAGTATATATGTACACAAGTGTACTAATAAAAGAATATAGATATAATTCATGTGCATAAGCATAAAAGGAAAGAGGAGGGGAAGCCAGATTTATTCGAGGCTGGCCAGGTTTAATTTGCGTCTGCTCGTATTTAGCACTTAAAGTTTCTTACATTCAGTTTGCTCAGAAGCGTGATGAAGTGTTTCTTGCTTCTGACTCAAATCAGAAATGCATGAAGTGCAGCTGCAGAGATAATACATTCTCCCCAAAGGCTTTGGCTGAGCAAATTAGGTGTCAATGGGGTGCCTGCGCAGGCAGTACTCTCTCTAATTAGTCTCTTGAGCCTGGTTGGTGGCGAGAATAAGATGATCTAATCAATTGGTCTGTGTCTGATGGTACGTGTAAAAATCCTACCAGGCAGAGCTGTCTCCCACAGGTCACTCACCTGCACAGCAGGACTGCTCATTTTCATTTTTCATCTCTTCTATCACATGATGCTGACAGTTGGTTTTAAGAAAATTGAATTAAAAAAAAGGAAATCTGGTTCATAGGGCATCTGGGTCAGAATGGCATTGCATTATGGGTATTGGTGATCCAGTTCATTAACATGTATAGCGGTAGAGGTGCAAAAAGTTGTTCACTAAATGCATGTTTTTGTCAGTAACAGAATTTCTTTAAACAGCTGTTTCACCAAAGATAACTTCAGTAAAATGTGAGCAAGGAAACAGTTGCCCAGTACATTAGAGGGTATGGTATTTATGCCTAATTAAATCAGGAAAGGAGTGTTATATAAAGGGAAATGTGGCATCCTTTTCATTATCCCTTTTCTTTAAAAAAAGTGTGATTGGAAGATGGAGCAGTATTTCTAGCCAGCTGCACTGCAAAGTGCATTGACCCCTGGAGGTATTCAGCACGCTAAGAACACTGGAAGGCCTTCCCCATCCCATATCTCTGGCTTCATGGCCAAGAGATCTCCATCTTAGGAGTCATGTCCAATAGTGGCACCTAAATCTTTTTTTTTTTAAGTTGGGGACTAATATTCAGGAAATAAAGACCCCTTCCTTACCACTGCATGCCTTGCACTAGGATTGCTATTGATTTTTTTTTCTCTGTTCTCCTCAAACCAGCAGCAACAATATTTTGCAGTTGTTGCGGCTTATTTGTTTGTGATAAAATCAAAAATAGCTTTCCTTGGTTAAGAGAAAAGAGGCGTCATATGGCATAGGATTTGTATAGAGGATAAAAAGATGATTATGTTGGTTTTTCAGCCTTTCAGCTGCATTCTGAACATCCTTATTGCAGTCAAGATGTTCTGCGAAATCAAACCTACAAACATTTGCATTCATACTCCTCAGCATTTCTGTTTTCTTCTGCTTTCTCCCCAAACTGTGAAATGTACTTCATCAGGAACTATGATTGGTCCTCACTCTCTGGCTTTTAGAAAGGGCATTATCCATCTAACTCATGAGTCTGCGGGCTGGATCCAGCCTCTCATGCCCATCTAACCGGCCCGCCCCAGAGGTTTTGCACTTGCTGCGCACGCGCGGCTTGCTCACAGGGAGATCATTTTGAACTCGCGCAGAGAAAATGATCTCCTTGTGAGCAAGCTGCTGCCTCGCCACCTGCGTCCCCCCCACCTCGCCGTGTGCGCACCCCGCCCCCTCACCAGCCCCCCTCCCCCCACCAGCACCACTTTGGTGGCCCACACCCACCACCAGCACCTTTCAACTGGCCCCCCTACTGAAAAAGGTGAGGACCCTGATCTAACTAATAGTTAAATGTACTTTAACATTTAATTTTAATGTTTAAACATTTTAAACATTTTAATTTTCTTCTGTTGTTACTTTGTTCATTTTCTTAGTAAATAACATTGTATACACATTTTAAAAAGAAGAATGGTTATCATAATAAACTTAAAATTAAAAGTTCATTTTTAAGGCAATCAGTTTAAATGTCAAAAGGACTTTTTAGGATATCTTAAAACATTTTTCTAGGGAAATCAGAATCAGCAACTACTGAATTTTTTAGAGGTTGTTTCCATATGGAAGATATAACTGGAGGCCATATCGCAATCTGTGAAGTATCCAAGAAAAATGTTGAATCTGTCCAATCAGGAAAAGAAATTAAACATTCTTCTAAGATATTTGAGGGGTGTACAAGAACGAAATTTGAGAAGCAAGAGTGCAGAGATGCTGAAAATCATCCTCTATTATTTAGGATGTCTGTGAAATGATGTTGCATATTTGTTACTTGGCATTGAATAAAACTCTAGAATTTGCTTCTTATGTGTTAAATTGGCCTTTCCATTGGGAATTTCTAATTCTTTTGGCAGTGCAAAATAGTGGAATATTTTGGTGATCAGCCCCCAGCTAGTTCTGTTGATTCTCCTCACCAACATCAGTAATTGCATGTTTGAAACTATGAGATTTCTCTGCAGGAATTAAGGGAGAGAAAACTGCTTTGATCACACTTCTTAAAGCACAGTAATTTTTTTACAAATGTGAATACAGTTGTCATAGCTCTTTCTAAATCTAGTGTCTAGTCTCAAAAGCAAAATGTTTGGCCAGGAGAGGGCAATCTTTATGTTTACCCTCTAGGTCATTTCTAGAGCATTGCTCAAACAATATACTCCCCACAAGAGATATTAGAAATGGACTTGACTCTGGGGGTTGTAAGAAATGATGTAAATCTGAAGCATGCTCTTGATAAAACTTGGTAGCTAAAGTGTGTTGGATTTGGATCCTACTTTGGTTGGGATAGAAATAGAAAGTAGGAATGGCATAGTTTTACTACCTTTGGTACTCTATATTATGAAATGTTTTTCATAATTTTTATTGCTGTTTCCTTACAGGAATTAAGATCACAAGACTAGAGGAGAGAAACAAAACCTAATGAGAGCTCCAAAACTATGAAGATACCATGGTCCTGTTTCTTTTCTCAGAGGTGGATTTCTGTAACAGGAAAAATGATGCTGGCAAGATCTTGTTCCCATATCCCTCTCAGTTTATTTAAAACCTTGCACGTGTTTTGATACTTTGTGACTTCAGAAACCTCTGTGAAAACTAAGGGGCTTTTTTTTCTTACTGATATGCAGCATGTTCTTTCTTCTTGGCATTTTATGTTTGGTTTTATTTGGTTTTTCTACTGCAGCGCACCACTCTTGTGAAGATTTTTATGCTTTCACCATCAGTGTCTTTAATACATTAAGACAATACATTTCGTGTCCATACACTTCCTCAGTAATGTCTGTAGATAAAAGCCAATCATGACATTAAACAACTGGCGTATAAACAAATGAGAAGTTCCACGAATTTTTCAGTTTGTCATAAAAACATCTCTTAAGCTTTACTAAAGTTTGCAAGTTGGTTATGGCACAGTATCTTACAACTGTGTTCATTTCTTACTGTTAGGGAATATCATGTTCCACTCTTTAACCATGGCAATAATTTAAGTTAAAACGCTGAATTTGGGTACTTTGCCTATGTTGCGTAATTTGGCAGATTTCAAAACAGATCTGCATATATATACATATATATATATATATACATATGATATTATTGATAAATTCAAATATACTACCCCCTTTTTAGAAAAAGGGACTTTTCCTGTTTTTGTGGTTCCATTTCTACTTTTTCATATAGTTTAGTTAAAAAATATTTTCTAAGAAGGAAAATAGAGATGATGGAGAAATGAGTTTACATTAGGATAAGCACTATGGTATAGAAACTCTAGTTGCTGAATGAGCCATTTAAAAAAAACCCTAGTTTTGAATACTCATCCAAATTCCAAATATTTGCTCTTCCAAACCAAAGCATCTTTCCAGTTATTTTTCTAAGATACTCTGTTATCATTGAATAATACTACTTCAAAGAGGATTTTCCCCAATAATTGTTCAAATTTTTAAAGATAGGCACAACTATGAATTAATTGGAGGGTCTTTAGTTCTCCTCCTTTTGTGGTAGAAGGGAAGATGGAACTCATGTGAATCTTAAGGACTGTGGCTGCTTTAGCTTGCCTCATATCATCCCTAATATGATTGATAGCTGTTCAGTTCTAGGAGATGGGAAATACCAGAAAACCAATAAATGAATGTCCTTAGAGTGGGGATTTCTCAGTCATTTTATTCAACACAGAAAGCTATATTGTCTCCCTATTACATCAGCTACCCAAAAAACACCTATTTTTGTAACACCTTGACTACAGCATCTAAAGCTTGTTAGAGAAAGGATAAAGGACCCATTCTGCATTTTCTTTCTTAAACTGATGGCTTAATAATAGATTTGACAGTACTTGATCTTTCAAAATACTTACTTTTAGCATAAGAAAACAATGGTAATTCTTGTTCTGCTGTGATAATTTTCCTGGTAGTTAAGCATGTATCTCTATTGTGGCCAGGACAGTTTTACTACCTAAGTACTTCTTAGGGTAGTAAATATCTACTTTGCTTAAATATCTTGAAATTCATTTGTATATCTGTTAAAACAGATAATCACAAAATCTGATGGAAAAATTTGAACAGAACACAAATGCCTTAACTATGATTTGCTATGAGTTTCATACTCAAATTTTATAAGAAATTTTATTTGACAAATTAGGTGATATATTCAGTTGGCTGTTTCAAGATGAGGGTCTCTTTGTAAAACAAGTATCAGTGCTTGCAAAAGTGTGAAGAATCTTTGAAAATGTAACAAAGGTTTCAATTAAGAAAATGAGGGTAGATCCTGTAAATCTCTTACTTTGGCAGCATAAGGAGGGATCGAAGTAATTATGCCCTGCCTGAAGTGGATGATGGTTTGAGGTAGAGAGTGACTCCACTGATGTGCTCCCTTCCTTGAGCTAAATGCCTAGCACCTTAGTATCTACAATAAATCAGACATTCAGGGTTTTTGCGTAGGTTTTTTTAGTGTGTGTGTGTGCTTGCATGCTTTCAGCACTTCTTTTTTAAAATAGCCATTGGTCCCATTGAACACATTGACTAATATTCCCCCAGTTATCATCTTTCAGTCTTAGAGTCTGTTCCCACTGCAAACATATCATTCCAGACAATATGTTTTTAATCCAGGAGTCTTGCTTTAGGGAAAGGAGAATAGACTTGAGGTCAGGAAAACCCCTGCCTTAGCATATCCTCATTTCCATCTTCTTCCACACAACAACCCAAATGAGGGTTCCAGCTGTTTAGCTCAAAGGTCAATATATTGGGAAGGCATCCTCCCTATTCAGCACAGACTGAAGTAGAAAACAGTAGCACTCCTTGAGCCCCTTGTTTCTGGAAGCATGGAGTCCTGTTGCACCTACTCACATACAATGAACATTGTTCCACCCAAAGTGGTAGGCACAGTCAAGGTAGTTTCCTGTACAGGGTGAAGAAATAAGAGGGATGCAACCCAGCTCACCAGATGGCAAAGGGTTTTGGAATGATTTCTCATGAAGTATGGCATGCATAAAACTAAATATCTGCATCCACACAAATTTCCCAAGAAGAATCTGTGATAAAAAGGTTACATTTGTCTCAGATCCTTCCCACAGAACTCAGATGAATCCATGTAGATTTCAATTCCAGTGTCATTGTTCACTTGGATCCTGCCATAGAAATCATTCCAAAAGCATACATGAAAAGGAAATTACTGGTGGGCCTTAAAGAAGTTAAAGTTGGGTTTTCTTTAAGGGAAAGAGATTTCAACTAAATTCAAGCCAAATGAGCTTGACTTTTATAGTGCTTGTTTTCTTGTTATTAGGGAAAAAATAATTATGCTGGAATGCAAGTTAAAAGCTGCAATTTTATGAAAAAATAGCCTAATGTTATGCTGGATCCACATCATTAGGCTGATAGGAAGAAAAATCCAGTGCACTATTAACTAAAGTCCACAACTAACTTAGTAAGTAGTGATTAAGAAATCCAGTACTTTTTAGAGCACAAGCCAAACCTACATAGATTATAGCCCAAAATATTTTCCAACATCCTGTTTCTGATTCTGTTGTTGAATTTCAAGGTAGGGTAAAGTTTTCAGAGCTTCCTGCATAGCTATTTTACCTTTTAATTATTCCTTTAAGAGTCACTCATACAAAATCATTAATTCCCAGAACTCAGTTCTGAAGATGTAAATGCAATTCAGGATGGGTTTGAACACTACATAACATGGGAGTTTACATTTTGCAACTACCTCCATCATTAGCTGTGCAAGGTCTCTTTGCATCTGAACTTTATGCACTTGACTGCAGCAGGAAATGGGGATGTTGAACTTTGGACACAATAAAGCCCTAAAAACCAAGTAGCCATGTCACTTGCACTTCCTGTATTCCCCATATTATGTAATGCCTGAAGCTCATCTGAGCTTTTCAGTATTACAGCAAGAGTCAAGATTTGGTACAATTCTTGTCCCCCTCCTAGGTACTTAAAAGGACACCATGTATATCCATAGTTTTCTGTGTATACATCAATGATTGTGGCCTAATTCTTATATTACTGAAGCAACATGGTTCCCGTGCCTTTCCAGTTAAATTTGAAGGGATAGTCACATGGAATCTTGTTAGTCCCACGTGAATAGGCATAACTACTGCCTGTGTAATCCAACCAGTCCACATTATTCTTTGCTTCAAATGCCACCAGAGCAGTCAAAGAACCATCAATGAGATAGTCAGTGGAAAAGAAGCAGCAACAATGCTGTTTGATAACATATGGATTAGGTCTGTATGGTTGGTAATAGTAGTGAGACAGCCTTCCTGTTCCTTACAAGTCCCTTAAACACACCACTGCTTATTTCAATGGACTTACCTATGAAGATAGGAGATTCTGCAATTGTAAGGAGAGGGAGAGTTGTCAGTTTGAAGTGAAAGTTGGATTGCATCATATGAGAAATAGGGTGGTAATCAATATTACCATAAGTTTCCTTAAGTTAAACCAGGAGATGGTAGCACTTTGCTTCAATGATTGTCTCATTCAGAGCAACCCTACCAAACATACAGAACAGCTGAGCCACATAATAATATTGCTGTTACTCGACTACATAGTATCTTCTGATTCTATTTGTTATTTTATGAATCAGTCGGTATACCACCACAGGGAATGTTAATGCATCATGGCTGGAGAGACTTGGGGTTCAAGTCTTCCTTCTAATGTGTAGATGGACTTTGCACAGGCATTTCCTATTCATCCTGGCTTAATTTAGAACAAGCGTTACCCCTCTCATCCATGAGGGGAAATAGATCTTGATGTGCAGATACCAGCCTACGTGTGGTTTTATAATCTGATATAATTAATTGCGTTTAGACTGTATGGAATGGCACTGAATATGGACACCGTATAAATAAAATTGTGTTCCATTGTTGACAATAACCATGGCCTTCTCTCTTGGCATAAAGATGTGGAGGTAATTCTATATGCTGTTGCCTTGCAATATTCTTAAAAGCAAAAATTGAAATGATGCACTAAGAAATTCCCCAATCCCGCTCCCCAAAAACCTGCACTTCTACAGTGCTACACAAAATCTTCCCTTACTGGGGTTCTTTATATGAGGCACAAAAAGGTGCTCTTTTTAACAGGGGTTTGGTACTCAAACAATGTTAATATTAAGTATGTATACATACATATAGCCACACACTTTAGAATGTCGCTTAGTAAGCAGTATGGTTAAATAAATGTTACATTGTTTTCAATGTGTAATGTGTCTGTATTATGAAAGATGTAATGGTTTGTCAGGTGTTAACTGTTTTCATGTAATATGATATTTAATAAAGTGTAACAGGATTTGTATGCTCCTTGGTGCTTTTATGTACAATTCATAGCATAATTCAGAATTTTAAACTTTAAACTTGAACTTTACACTATTCAGAAATATATAATAGATGAAAGGTGATGTCCTTACGTTTAAGAAATATTAACAGTCCCATTGGCTTTACTGAGAAATTTAGTCTAAATGCTTCGGTAGCAGCACAAAATTATGATTTGTTTGTTCCTTCTGGGTTTGAACTAGTGGTTGCAATGAGGTCTTGAACCAAGAAGACATGACTATAGGAAGTAACCTGCTTGTGCATACCTCTGGGGCCTTATTGTGTTAAGTTACAAGACAACATACAGCAACCAGCTCAAGGCAAACTTATATTTGCATCAAATCAAAATTCTATTAGTAAGTGTGGGCAAACACTAATATTCTTCAAAACAATATCATTTGGTCAAGCAGACACCGTGGCTGTTTAGGTTTCACGTCTCAGAGTTTTTCCCACCTCTCCCCAGATCAGCCTGGCTGCTACCACCAAGGAAGAAGCTTTTGCTGTAATAGCATTGCTGCTCCCCAGAGAAAAGTAAAACCAGAGGGAAGGTGTTTGAGCAACCCTGTGCCACTAGGTTAATGCACAGCTTTTCAGAATAATGGCCATCATTGAAAATCTTAGCAGTGCAAACCCTACAGCGTCAAAACAGCCTGCTGCTACCAGTGGGGGGTGGTGTTATGGGCATTAGCTTTGAGAAGCTTATACAGCACAAGAGGAAGGAGGATAAAGGATACAAATCAGGAAACAACTGACAAGACTTTTTATGAAAAAAAATCCAGGGCTAGTATTTACTGTTCATTCCCTTTGTGAGTAGTTGCATATTGTCTGCAGTGAGTCATGCTGAGCGAGTCGAGCACATTAACTAAGAGCACATTAACTCCCACAGTCATTTTCCCAGAGGTGTTTGCTGGGCAGGTAGAGCACAGAATTCCTAATCACTGTGCTATTCCGAGAAAGATTTTAAAATGGTCATTTTTCAGGACAGACTATAAGCATTCTTGCTTTCTTTAAGAGAAAATATTGTGTCTTGGCTTGGGGAGGGCAGCAGTTTGCTTCAAAACTTCTCTTCCTCATTCAAGGGCAGGGACCGTAACACATGGTGAAAGGAAACAGGTGCTTCTCATCCAGGTGTGATCCCTGTCAGGTAAGTAGAAGTAAGCTTACTCGTACACTGTACCTTAAGCACTGATCAAAATGCTAGGCTCAGTAGTTGGCCTGCCTTCCTGCTTTCAGGAATGGCTAAAAATGCAGCTGCCAAAACAACAGGTGAAGAAAGCTAAGGATGCTCATGCACTACCCCTTGCTCATCATCTACTATCAGCCATAGAATGAATGGAAAACATACACCTAAAAGCCCAAGGGACAATATCCCTGTGGCCAACTTGATGGGAAACAACCATTTATGGAGTTATGATTCAGCTGCTACCTGCTTAAAGCAGAGCATTTTATGAAAATACCAAAGTAGATCTACTTTTCTGCAGTTACTGTGCTGCTTGGTGGAACAGAGAGGCAATGAATGCTTCAGGTAACCTCAAACAGGCTTGCTAGCTCTTGAAATAAAAATGATAATTTGTGTAGGTCCTGGGACTAGAGATGAACTAGCAGTTTCTGACAGGTCTGGGACTGAAATTAAGTTCAGAACCTGTCTTGTATGACTAAGGATGTGATCCAGAGCATGTTTGCAATTAAATTCTAAAATTGCCAGTATCTCTCTGGCTAAGGTTTCCTGCCCAGCCCTAACTTTTTGTTATATTTAAAAGAAGCAGTCAGGTTGGAAATGCAACCAATGTGTATCACACAACCATAGGTTGGCCAGGAGCATTTATTTGTATTTATCCCTTAGTTTGCATTTATCCCTAATCCTAACCCTAACCTCTAAATACAAGTAAGGATCAGGTAGAAAGAGATGTCAAGGCAGTATTCCTGGGACCTGGTGTTCTTCACAACCCCTACAAGCAGCCCTTCAATATGGCAAAGAACAAAGGGCAAAATAGATCCAAAATACATTCCCTTGCTGATAGTGGAGGGTAAGACCACTCAGGGAAGCATCCCTCATTTTCAGCTTTGGTGCATCACATGCTAGGCATTAGATGTGATTTGCATAGCAACTGAAGCAAGGAGAGGCAAAGATAAATAAACCTGATAAGTATTCGCATTATGGTGCAAGGTTTATCAGATCCATCTCACTTAGGCAATACTCTGGAATTCCTACAACAGTTTTTAAAAAAAGTTATGTTTGTATATGCATGTGTGCACAACACTTATTTCACATAAACACTTCATATTAGTAGTTGTTTATGAAGCTAGTTGTTTATGAAGGTTGTCAAAGTTCTTATGCATCTGGTGAGCATTCTACATACTCTATTTAAATCTAGAGCAGTATATCTTGACTTACTATTGGAGGTGTAATGCACCTAATTTTTATTAACCTATATGTTTTGGTAATACAAAACATTCAACTGTTGGCTGCTACTGGAAGGAGATTATAATATAGATAAATTTTGTGCTGAAACACTAATATTTACAAGAGAATGTGTTTTTTTTAACCATTGGCTCATTTGGATCTTTCTTGTAGCATATTCATAAATATATTGAAAGCAATACATCTTTTTACACATATGTAACATATATAGGTCACATCCAACCCATTGTGACCCCATGGCCAACTCCAGGCCTTCCTGCCCTCCACCATTGCCCGGAGTCCACCTAAGCGCACACCGACTGCTTCAGTGACTCCATCTAGTCACCTCATCCTCTGCTGTCCCCTTCTTCACAAGCTACACAAGCCCCTTCGCCAAAACAAGGCAGTGATCCATGAAGGGTATCCCAATAGTACTACCTTGAAAATTTAGGCTTAAAGATTGTGATTTGCCCAATAGTTCTCAGTGTGTATCATCTCTGAGCAGAGATTTGAATCCTAGCAGTGTCAGTACCTGGTTTTGACAGCCTTTGGCAAGTTACCTTCTTACCATTATAACCAGCCAGTACTGTTCCCCCGCCTCTTTCCCAAGATTTCTACCACTTGCATGTTTGTTTGACAGGCAGAAAACCACTGAGTAAACAGGCCGTGGCATCTGCTTCTCTTCGTCTTTGTCCTCACCACCACCACTACTGTTGTCTCCGCCAGAGTGAGAGTCAGGGTGAACAAACAGATTGCCAAGGTAAGAAGACTCCAAGGGGTTTCTTTCAGTGAGCCTCTGTTGGACTGCAAGTGCGAGGAAGGTACCCAAGCATGCCTACCCATGAAACTAGCTCTAAATTCTAGATCTCAGTATCTAACACTCCAGCTATAATATAGGCAACACCACGAATATCACTTTCATTCCCTTTCACCAGAATGTCCCCAATGAAGCATCCTCCTTCAGGTGATACCACGAGGGATGTGGAGAGTGGGAAACTATCTGCAAGAATTGCTGTCTGAACAGTGCAGCAGGAAGCCCTCATCCTAGGGACAATGCCATTTCTGGCAGCAATGTGCATTTGGTCAACGTGAATGACAACTTCATGTTTCCACCAGCCCAGTTCTCTTGAACTCAGAGTTAGGGCTGGATTAGACATGCCTAACTACATAGATTCAAATCCAACTATCCAAATTTTTTGGAATTCTATGGGTTAAGTTCATATAGTGGTGTAGAATTTATTAATAAATTATTAAATATATAGTGCTTTCAAGTGAACTAAAATCTGGTGTAGCACTGTAGCTAAAAATAACCCAATTCGAATCTCACCACAACCATTAGGTATCCTTCTGTAAACTGTTGTCTCTCTGCTTTACTCTCCCCACATCCCATCTATAATACGGGGATAATATGACCCACTTTGCAGGGTGTTGTAAGTGCCTCGAACACTTAAGCAAAATGCTGTATGAATTATAGTAATAACAATAACAGTGGGAAATGTGACAAGAAGCTACTCAGTTTCCATAGAATTGCATTTAAAGCAATTCTTGTATCCAGCTTAAATTTCTGCATTCTATTAGTTGGGTATAAACTAATTACCAGATTCTTGATATGGCCTTTATGCATCTTGTTACTGCTTTATCTTTTCCAGCTAATAGACATTCCTCTTGCTACATCCCCCCACTCCTCTACTTTGTTGTTCCAGTAACTGGCATATTCAATCTATAACTAAATAATTGGTCAGGAAAGGCAATGCAAAGGAATGGGATTGGAGGTTGGCTATAAAACAGAAATTATGCTATCTTTTTAGTCATGCCCACTTCAGTATTTTGGCTTTTCTGCATATTCTGCCTGAGGAAAAGGCTTCCACATATGTATCACTCCTATTATTTTGAAATGCAATTCTGGTAGAATCTTAAAACAAACTGCCTTGAAGGGTAAAAGAGTCCTTTCTTGCCCAAGGTCAGAAATTCTCGGAATTAGTTCCTCCACAATCAAGTCTGTGTTTTGGGATGGGAATCATCTCATGAAAAACATAAAGTCATGCACAGACTTCTCCAGAATCCTGACTCTGTCTTCTCATCAATGGCAAGTGCACAAGCTGTGCATTTTAACAGCACCAAGTGAGCCGACTGTTGAGACTGTTGATGCCCGGTTGGACATTTGGGAGCTGCCTGCTGTCTCGCATTTCCTGCTAAGAGCCCTTGGGGGAACATAAGGGCAGGGACAGTGGAGAAAAAATGGATATCTGGCAGAGGCAGACAGAGACAGAGAGGAATAGAAATGATGGCAGTGGAAAGATAAAGCAACCATTTGGAGAAAGGGGAAGAATGGGAGCAAATTTATCACTAAGAAAATACATATTTTTATAGACAAGGAAAATAAGAAATGTTAAAGGGCACAAAATTAATTGGCATGGACATACTGTAACAAATAAGGCAAACTTAACATCATACTGATTTACAGTTAAGGAAACAATAGCGTGGAACCCTGACTAGGATGGATGGATGGATTGCTATATGTTTCCTAATTCCTCAAGTACTGAAAAGCTCCAGGAACCACCTAAGAACATGAGACT